TTTAGTAATAAAATATTATGTTATTTTCTGGAATTTATGATACATTTATTAGTTTTTAAAAATTGATAATTTAGAAAATTAATCTGAAATTAAAGCCTGAACAAGAGGCTTGCAAAAGCACCATCAATGCAGTGAAGCTATCTGAGAAAGCAAGAGTTCTAGCAACAGAACTCCTACACATACCAACCAACAGATGATTGTATGCAGCAGAAGAGTAATTTGATTAAACGTTATGTAGTTCAGTACAACAGGGCGGCAATTTAAAGTGCTTTTGGATTACTCTTGTGCAGGCTTTAATTTCAGATTAATTTTCTAAATTATCAATAATTAAAAACAAATGGCAGCTGTAGTGAGGAATAGCTGAATTATCTTTTTATTTTCTCTATAGAAAACTATATTATGAGAGCTTCATCATAGCAAGAGAAGATCCAGTGTATTCAGCCAGAAACTGTAGGAAAGAAAGAGTATTCTAGAGGGTATAAGAAATTTAGTAATAAAATATTATGTTATTTTCTGGAATTTATGATACATTTGTTAGTTTTTAAAAATTGATAATTTGCTTTTGTCTTATTTTCTAAGTGCACATTTATTTTTATATGCCATTTTGCATTTGTTATTTTGTTTATATTTCTTAGGACTTGACTTTAATTGGATAATCTTTCAGCCCCACAAAACCTGTATCTCTACAGCACAGCCCCAGTAGGCATTAAACTTTGGTGTGCTATCTCCCTCTATATATTTTAAAATGTAGCTCTTATGTTAGACCCTTTTGATGGAGGTTTTATTGTCTCTCTTCCTCAGGTAATTATATTGGGGATAGTATAGTATAATCTATCCAAAAGGAAGAATTATTTGTTAGGGAAAGGAAGTGAATTAACAAGAGATCCTGGGTCTTATCAAACTGAATGGTGATTATTGGACGAACGGATCATACACAAAGAAATTTAACATGTGCATACTCGGGAGTGAAAGCAGAACTCTGTGACTCAAAGTCCATTTTTATTTTCCTGCCAGCCACGATCATGCTTTCCTCGGATAATGCAGGTGTCTTCTGGAGCTCTGGGTCCTTTGGAAAGGTAGGTTTTCTCCAGCCGTCCTTCCCTCCCGTACCTATGATTTCTCTGCCTCGAGAGATTTGTCCTTATGCCAATAGTCTCCATTTATCTCTGATCACTCAGGTACGATCCTGCCTCTCTCCACATTTCCACAAAATGTTCATTCATCCTCTAACTTTAATGAACCACCTTGGGAGAAGCTGGGACATTGACCAGCTGTAATTCTAGTCCCATCTTTCACCTGAGTATAGATAAATGGAACTTTTTTGACAGGTTCCAGATAGAAACATAGCTCCATGAAAAACTGCTGAACCTGATGGTCCCAATGTTTTAGTATGAAAGATTACTTTTGTCCATTTTACCGGACATAGTGGGAGGAAATTTGCTTCTGTTTTGCCCAGGGACATTGCTCTGGAATTACAGATTCTCGGATGCCCATCCTTGAGCCACCAGGGATGTAGCCCCAAATGCTCATAAAGGATTCTCTTGTCTATTCCTAAGCTTGTACGAGTCTTCACTGTGTTGATTTCCTGGTTAAGTCAGTAACTATCAGGTGAGTAAAATGATCTACCACCAGATAATGAATGGAAGCAGAATTTACTGTCCTTTTAAGTTCGTGAAGGTCGAACAGAGAAGCAGGGCCTGGTTGGCTTATTCCACAGTTCAGAGGAATGGAAGGTTTCCTTCCTTCTGTGGGGTCCAGAAGAGAAGCAGTGCTTTGGAAAGATGACTGGGTGAGAGATTATAAATTTCCTGCTGAGCCTGGAAGTTCGATCTCCTTTAAAAAAAGCTTAAATTTGTTGAGGATACTTTTCCACCTTCCAGAAACCTATAATAGATACTCTAAGATGATCACTTTGATCTAGTCTTTCTGTGTGTAGAAATGTTAAATGTGGAGATGCTTGTGGCTGACATCACATAGGAAAGGGGGTATAATAGGATTGTCTGGGGATTGCCTTTCCCTCCAAAGTTAGGACAGGCCTAGGTCCCTTAAGTCATGAACTGTTTGCTATTTCTGAGCCAAACTAATACTTTACTGAGTGCCATTTCTAATCTTAAACACTTTTTTTTTTTTAGATTTTTTTATTTTGGTATTTTTTTATTCGTCTCAGAGGTGGAATTTTGTGATTCATCAGTCGCATGTAACACCCAGTGCTCATTACATCTATTTATTTTTTCAGGGAGACAGAGAACTTAAGCGGGAGGGGCTGAGGGAGAGAGGGAGAGCATCCGAAACAGACTCCGCACTGAGCGCGGAGCCCAACACGGAGCTCGAACTCATGACTCTGAGATCATGACCTGAACCAAAAGCAAGTCAGAGGCTTAACCAACTGCACCACCCAGGTGCCCCTTAAACACATTCTGATGAGCTGGTTACAAAGCCCAAAGGGGACACATCTTGTGTGACGGGTAGGTTGTGCCTGCATTTCCCATGAACACACAGGTACAGAAGAGAATACTTATAATCATTTCTTCTACCCGATACGAGTTCTGAAGCTGTTGCTCGATACTCTTACCCTGTGTTGTTTGAAAGGAACACCTTGTTTTGTTTGGACATTCATTTGTAGTTAAAGAGACCACATTTATATTTCATTTATTTGGAGCAGGGATTTCTCTAAGTGGCATACAACTGCATAGATGTGTCTGTTCATTATTTATGTAAGTGGATCATTTCTCCTGCTGCCCATTGCTAATTGAACATCATTTGGAGAATGAAGCAACCCTTGGGCAACACTTCTCTTGTGGTTCACGCAGACTCCTTGCTTGTCTCTTAGTGAGTCTGTTTATTTAGGATGACTGTGAACCAACATGGGATAATGTTTACTATGTACTCCACCCTCTCCCCGCGCCCATCCCAGCCTAGATAGACTGAATGGTTTTTGGAGAATTGGACACCCGGGAGAACTACTACTTTCCAACTATGATGTGTACAGAGGATTTTTAAAGATGGAGAAAAGTCTAGTTTATGCAAAAATTGCTTCACCATCTGCTTGCCCTTGTGCCTGAAATTACTGCAACGGGTATTACATAGATGGTAAGACTTTGAATGTGTATTTATTTCTAAGCAAAATATCCATCACTGACCCAACAGTTTATCCAGTTAGCCAGAAGAAACCAGAATGATTCCATACTTTCATACCTAGTGTCTTAACTCAGTATAAAGAAGGAGTTTGGAACAGGTGCTTCTTTGCTTTTAAAAGGTCGTGATTTCGTCTACAGACCTAACCTTGTATACACTTGTGCTTTCTCATATGATGAAATCCCTTTCTATCAGTTCCTCCTGACTTTGGCTTTGATTACTCAACTCTATCTGACTTTGGATCTTGCCTTGACCCATTTTTGTCTAAATATCAGTAATTTCCTCTGTCCCGAAAGTCAATCCTCCAAGAACATTTTAACTTGTTTTCTGGCCTTGATTTTGATGCTTTGGCTCTCTTTTCTATAATATCAGAGATAAAACAAAACAAAAAAAAACTGTAGCAAGGACAGCTTCCTCCTCTGACACCTGGAGTTTTACAAGTTTGCGGATGCCATGAGAAATGGAGAGAGAGATTTTAATTCAGCAGACGTCAGGGGGAAATGAATGGCTTGGAGAACACTAGTGGTATGTCAACAGAGAAAGACCTTGGGAGAAGGTAGGAATCCAGAATACATTTTGTCAGTTTGGTTATTGCCAGGTAGAGACACAGGCCTAAGTGGGTACTGACCCTGTTGAGTCCAGACTCCCCCATGTGCTAAGCCCAGGCTTGGAGGATTTCTACAGGGTTTGCCAGATGTTTCCAAGTAGGGAGACCTACCAGTAAGTCTCGCAGCTCTGCCCCAACTGCTTGTAAGGGAGTCACCCACACTGTTTGTCTCTTTTTAAATTGCTTGGAGACCCTAACCTTCCTAAAGCAGTCCCCCTCACTGGTGGTCTCTGGGCTTTGGGAGCCTCTGGAGCGTCTCCATAGTCTGCATAGTTTTGAAGCAAGAATAAGAGCCTTCCTTGCTCCTTCTTCCTCTCAGCCCAAGTATCTTCTCTTTTGTGAGAATCCTGACCTGTTGTTGGGTATAGATCAGGACTTCCTCCTCTTTGTCAAGGTTCATATGTGTCTCTAACCACACTGTAGTTATTCCTTGCTTACCTGTGCACCCACACTTCTACCACACCATCAGAAATCAGTGCTGTCTTCATTTCCAAAGCCTTCCTGACCCAGTGGCCTGGTGAATAATAGGTCCTTACCAGTACTTATCGAGTGAATTGACTCTAACAATCTTTTGGACTTGTGTAACATGTTTTCCAAAGCTTCTAAGGTAAACATTTAACTTATTTAATAATTTTGCTATTCTTCAGAGGTGACATATGTATAAAAATGTGGAAGTCACTGAAAGTGGTCTCAAAAACATTTTATTCCCTGTTTCCTGTTTGTGATTTGGTTTTGCACTGTCATTTCTTTGTTGTTCCCTTTCATTGCAGAAAAAGCTAGGAAAAAGAGGCTCCTAGAATCACACCTTTATCTTTTGGAATTATTCAATGGAATGTTCTGGAAAAAAGCTTTATGACTACATTATACTTTTTCAGGTATAATCATACTCACTCAATCTGTGGTAGTTATATAAAAAAAATGATTGGTACAGATGAGAGCATTTCCTATCTACTTCCACAACTGAATTTCCTGATTTTTATCTGACAAGATGTGTTATGTTGACACGGTTTAGAATAAAACCTGATATCCATTGCTTACTTTTCCCAGCACATTCCTCTGTGGTACATAAGTCTTCTTGCTCTGGGTTTCTTCACACTTGAACTTGGAGAGTGCAATGGATGTCTGAAGTCTAGTTATACTACCAGAGATTGACTAAACAAAATAAGGATCCTGAGAAGCTGCCTGAACTTGCACTCTTTCCAAGGGCAAATTCTTCTAAGTTATTGTATTGATTTAATTTGCATTCAAATTGCTCAGAATTTTGGCAGTGTGTTTTCACTTGAATGATTTGCTATCAAGTGGAGAATGAATAGATGACATGTACAGACTCAAGTGTGGAGCTGAATTTTAAAATATTTACTGATTTTAATAGAACCATATCAATACCATAACAAAGGATAAACTATTGCAGCAAATGGTGGGTTAGCATTATTTCTTAAAGAAATCCTAGAAGGAGGCATTGATTGTGAACTACCTTAATGAATTTGGTTTTACTTAGCATAAAAATGCATGCTGTAGTTTTGTTAATTATATGTTGTTGAGTTTAAATTATTAATTATTTCATTGTAATAAAATTATAATTTAAATATTGATGCCTATTAACCACAGGATGCAATAACTATCATTTAAACATTCATTTTATAATCTGTGATGTATATTTAATGTGTGATATGTTTATTATTCTAACCATCTGACTGCTTAAAATACAAATAGAAAAAACCTTTCATTATGTGTTTTGACATTCTTGTCAGTAGTTAAACCTGCCTTGGGACCTACTGAAAATTTTAATAGTCAGTAATATTTGCACTGTCATCTGTCACCACATGGTGCCAAATCCTGTCCATGTAGCAATTGCTCTTGGCTTTTCTGGGTTAAGAGAATACGAGTATTTCCTAGAGCAAATACACTGAGATTGCATGTAGATCCAGTTGGACTATATTCGTGCTAAGGTAAACTTTGTCTATAGTGGTATATATGTCTATAAGTGAAATGGAAAATAGGTTTGTCTTTTCAGGAACTTACTCCTTTTTGCTAGTGTTGAGGCAATATACTGGAGAAGAAAAATGTCTCTATTTTATGAGGTGGCAGATGGCAAGAAGTACAGTGCTAACTATTTAACAGGTGCTCAAATATTTTATAAATAAATAAAAGGAGGAAACATGAATAAATGAAGTAGGCAGAGACACACAGTGGAAATACATTGGGCTCCTGACCCCATGGTAGAGAGACAGAAATCAAACTCTTCTTGTTTCTTCTTCAAAGAGATTAGGATCAAAGTAAAAGATAAGAAATGAGCATATTAAGTTGTTAACAGTTAAAAGGAATAAATAAAAATCACAACAATAAGTATTGTGTATTTGGAACCTACAGTGTACCTATAATTACATATTTAATCCTCAAAGACCTCTTGGTAGAAGCTACTGATGTTGCCATTTTGATGAATTTGGGAAGGCTTTGGTGATTTTCTCTATGCTGCATTTTAATTAAGCCCAGAATCACAAACAAGTCTGTCATATAGCCCCACTCATAGAACATTGCTTCCTCCTTCATACAACACTTGAGCCAATATTTATGATTTAATTGGTTAGTTATAACTAACATACTCCTAAGAGAATGCTGCTTTTGAGTTGCTCCATTTCCTGATTCCTTTGACTGACTACTTCAGAGCTGGAGGTAAATATGAACCATATATCTGCTCTGACATTGCTGGGGGAAAATGGACTAAGCAGTTACTGAGGGAAACCATGGCACATCAGAGGAGTGTCAAGAAATGATGATGCAGAGTGCATGAGGGGACATTGTGGGCATCAGGGCTTATAGAATCATAAGCGTTGAATTATAACTTGGTAACTTGGCAGAGCGTTTTGCATCCTGGATGTTTGTACATTGAACTCAGTCTTTCCAGAATTAAAAACAAAACAAAACCAAACAAAAACAACCCAAAAAGCCTTAAGGAATGCAAGGTTAATTTTGTTATTTTATGAATTCCTTAAAATTCTCAGACCTATAACATAAATTCTATTCCGGAAATAGTTCTCAAATCATTAAGCAACTTGGCTTAGTTGAAAAAATATCTTCCTCTTCTGATGAGTGTCTATACAATAAGAAGATAATTACAAACATTGGATAAAGTCCATTAAACTGAAAGAAGCCTTGTGGAGAGCTGGGAGCCACTGAAAGAGACTCTAGAAAGGCATGAGAGTGACCACAGGATGTGGGGGCATACGGTGGGCTGTGGCGTTACTGAAAGTCCTGGGCAGGTTATGGATTTTTCTGGGAAGTAGCAAACTATGCTTAGGTGTGGTTACAGATTATTGGACTTTGTCCATATGACTAGTTTAATTTTTACAAAATATTGTTCTCAAAATATCACATAGAAGATGTGACTTGTGTATCCAGAGATTTTATTTGCTTTTTGTTTGCAGGAGTAATGTATGTCAAGAACGAAGCCACTCAGATGATAGAAGGGTGGAGCAGGGATTGAAGATTCAGGATGAACTAAAGAGGTTAGTCAAGAACCTTCTCTGTTGGGAAAAGTGAGTTTTTACTGTAAATCGTCTCCATCTCCTTAATACGAGACACCCTTCATTACTTCCTAGCTAGACTAATGGTTTTCCAAGCTGAAGTGATTTTCTGAAGAACATCTCTGATCAAGAAAGTCCTTTGTTCAAGAAGCTTCAGTGGTTTCCATTGTATATTGAATGAGGGTATGGAGGAGGAAATAGATTTATTGAATTTCTAGACACTTAACATAATCTCATTTAACCTTAAGCAAAACTCTATGAAGTAGGTAAGACTGTATCGAGGAGGAAAAAAAAAAAAGGAAAGCAAGCTACCTGCCAGGAACCTCTGGGAAGGAGATACTCATGTATCTTGCTCATGTCTCCAGGATCCACTAATGTCTGGGAGACTTTCCAGACATTACTTGTTGAATGAATGAATGCTGCAGGACTGCTTTTATACTCTTTACATTGGTCTATACTGTTTTGTGAATTTCATATTCCCTACGTAACAGTCATTTACTTACTACACCTACTATGTATGTGTCATACATTCTATAAGCAAGATTGGGAAAATATTTGGCTGTTTTTTCTTAATGGGCTTCTGAGGTCTAGCTCCACTAATACCTTACTGAAATTATACACATGGAATTTTCTTCACCAATCTTTGATTTAGGTCAAAGAGTTTCAAGCCATGTTTCCTGCACCATGTATGATTTCCTGTTTTGACTTAAAGGCTTGTGTGAAGCAATCGGAATTCAGAATGCCTCCAGGTTTTATAGTTTTCCCTGTTCTTTAACAGTTGTTTTGCCTATAAATAATCCCATGATGATTATAGTAGCAATCCACACTTATTGAATCTTGACAAAATATTCAACTTAATTCATAAAGCAATAGCTACCTTTCTTTTTATACTCATAAGAATACACAAACACACAAATTGGTATAAAAGGTTGAGCATATGGGGGAAAGAAAACCCAGCTGACATGGGGTGAGCATACAAACACATGTCTTACCTCTCCTTCCGCCTGTGGTGACTTTGTTGAGCTGGGACGAGGGCAGGCTCTGCAGTGACCTGGTCTGGATTTACCCCACACAGGTGAACACCTCTACTTTCCAAACACCTTCATCATTGAGGTAGTACTAGTAAGGAATATTGCAATGGCCTTTGTACTTGTAGTAAGTAGTAAGGAAAGTGGTAGTAAGGACACTCTTTTTGTATAAAGAGTGAATTTAAAAATTGTTCTTTTTAAAATCGTGTAAGTGAAATGAATTATTGAAGAAAAGTTGAAATTTCTCTGCAGAATTCACACTGCATCTCTAGTACCCAACTCTAATACAACCAGTTGTTTTCCTACCAGAGTTTGGGATTTTCCAGCAAGCAGATATGGGCACTGAGGAATGCGAATAGTGTTCTGGGTCAAGCAATGCATCTCAAAGCACCCATTCACTTACGGACAGGAAAGAATGTGAAATGAGTAACAAACAGTAATGTCTAGACACATGGGAACAGATTTTAGGGTTCTAATAAAACTCAGTTGGTTTTAGATATACTTAATCAAGTATGACAGTGATGGCAGTAATTATTATAATAACTGAGAGGCAGAATGGTGTATGGGTAAGAATAATAACTGAGAAATTAAAAGACTGAAATTTCTGTTGCAGACTTGTGGCTCTGTGACGGGTATGTAGCCCAGACCTCTGATAAGCCTCTGTGCATGCATTTGCATAACGAGAGGGAACGGCTAGGTTTCTCTTAGTTGTGACACTGTGATTCTATGGGATCTATGGCCAAACTCTATGCCCGCTCTCGCAAGAAGTATACCTAACAACCTTTAGTTGTAAAAGCTTTTTCTTTTCACAAAGACCACATTCCCTTCTTTCTTTGTTTTATATATTACCCCCCCTTATGCATTAATTAAAAAGAGAGATAGGAAATATGCTAGACACTTTCCTTCCCTTCATGAACATAATATATGCTCTACAGTAAGGAAGTTATGTGAAGACACACACACACACAAGCCCGATAAGGTGAGTTTGAGGAGTGTTTAATAGACAGTCCTGATTCTAGACTACTCAGAATTTAAATACAAGCTGCCTGGCTTTATGCCAAGGGGGTCAGAGAATGTTTGTATGAAGGTTTTAAGATCTGCTCAGAGGCTTGGAAGACAGGAAAGGATTTAATGTGCTGGGGGTAGGGGTGGAGAGTGGGGGGTACCCTCGAAGTAGGGAAATTGCACACTTTGGAGATCTGTTTAAGGAAACAATCCTTAAATATTTTTCTCTGGCCATATTTCCTCCCTTCATTCCTGTACCTCTCAGCCCCTTTTGTCTTTTTAAATCTCACTTTTATCTTCAAAGCGAATTTATATATAATTTTCTATTTAAAGCCTCGCATAAGCCCTAGACCATGGCTTCCTGTAGTGTTTCTTCAAAAACTATTTCAACCCATGACAATAGGCATACCATAGGAAAAAATAATCATTCTATTGTAAGGATTAGCTGTGTACATAGTGAAATCACCAAGAAATTTGGGCAGTAGAGTGGTTGCAGAAAATGACACTGAATCTTGAGCTGAAACCTTTAAGAAATGAAGGACAGTTGTCCCTAGGGTCAGTAGATGACTCAGATAAGGAGCTTTACCCTTATGACAGGGGATTCAGAGTTGGAGTTTTTAGGAAGGACGGGAGGGGACACTTGCCATACTCCAGGCCCAAGGGTGGAGGAGAAGAGTGGAGGCGTTCCCTGGTCATGCCAACTTAGAACAAGGGACACCTACCCCATTCCAGGTCCAGAGGTGAGAAGGGTATGGGAGAACAAACAGTCCGTTTTTGAGAGCCCTCAAGAAAGCAGGATCATCAGTAACACACTAAGTTTAATTACTGCATTAAGGAGATTGAAATGTTAGAGAGAGGACTGGGTATGCAGGGGATCGCACTGATGACTGACTCGAGGGGCCGACAGAAGGGAGTCTAGATGTCGACAAGTAGAAGCTTAGGGGGTGAGGAGGAAGATGTGCAGAGTCATATGGATTTGGCCATGTGAGTATGAGTATTGATGGTTTGGATTTGCACACCTTTCTTAGTAATGGGACTGGAAGCCCAGTTAGAGGGTAATGGGAAAGAAGGAGACAGTGACCGTGGCCCCCACCTGAAAAACAGAGAGAAGGGGCATTAGCTCAGAGGAAATGTGAGGTGTTACTGCTTTTTTTTCAACTGGGAGTATGTTTATAGATGATACAAATTACCTTGAAGTAAAAGATAAATACCTTATGTAGGAGAAGGGAAATGAAGTGACAAGAGAGAGGTTTTTGAGTGGATAAGAGAAGTTAGACTCCAAAGCTCAAGTGTATGGATTAGGCTTTGACTGAAGGAGGCATACTCTATTTGAGTACTTTATACAGTTTTTATTTAATTCCAAGAAAAACTGAGTAATATGGGTATAATTATGATCCTCATTTCACAGATGAGGAAATTGAGTCATGAAAAGATTAAGTAAAAATGCACCCAGTGTCACATAACCAGTAAATAGTAGAGTGAGGATTCAAATCTGGGTTGGTTTGACTCCAGATCATGACTCTTCAATATGGCAACTACCATTTGGTTAAAGGTCACAAGGAGAATACCTATAAAAGTCAAAGCTATGTTGACGAATTTGTAAATGGCTGTGATAATGACTAATATTATTAACATTTTTGTAAAAATCTCATTTTGCCTCTAATCTATTCAGTTGTCTTATTCAACATGTTATTATACTACTAATAGAAAAACTAATCAACATATAAGTATACTCATCCTGATAGAATATGGCATTCTGTGAAAGCGCAGGTTGCTTATAAAATCAGTGTAATTGATTCTCTAGAGAAGAAGCTGAACTAAGGGAAAATGAAAATTCCTAAACTGGATTAGAGACCATGCTGTGGGTTCCTCAAGAGTACTATGGCCTTTTTCTTCTGGAAGCAGGTAGAGGGTGTACATAGGGAGAGAATGCAGTTCAAACTTAAATATGCCTTGCCTTACTACTGTAGCTACAAATATTTTCATAATTCTTCAGTTTAATTACTTACAAATTCAAATGTATCTTTAGTAGTTGAAATTTGAGACCGCAGGAGATTAAAAGAATGTACAATATAGACTGTAAAATGATTTTCAAAAGAAGAGCAGCAAATGACTTCGGTTACATTGGCGACTTTGGAGCACATGCATTACACAGAAGGAAACAAACAGCATGCAGTTTTATAACTTTGATGTATTTGTTAAACCTCAGTCATCTTGTTACATGTCCATATCTCAGAAAGTGCTTTAGAATGCAATCTAGTAGCGTGTGTTGATGTGTATGGTTTTGGAGAGCTGAGGCAATGTCTATCTTTTATATTGTTTTATTATTAGCACCTATTGTACTGCTTAATATTAGGTACCCAATATATATTTATTAAATTACAGAACAATGCACATTTTCATTAACAAGAAATCTGTAATTTTGCAATAGTTTTAGCTTTGGGGTGATTTCTGGGAATTATGTCTCATTTCACTTTACTCTAAGGGGTCATATATACCTACCAAATGAATAAAATCCATCTGAGAGCAACATTAAGTATTGAGGGCAGATGTTAAAAAACTGTGTCAATATAATTTTCATGGGACAGGGATTCATTCATTTCAAAAACAAAATTCAAAATGAAAGAATTGGGAATTGTGTGTGTATCAGAAATATTTTTCTGTTTGGTGTGCTCAGTTTCCATTTAGACGTTAGTAAAACAAATAGAATAATTCATTTTCTCATTTACTGATCCATTTGTTCACAGAAAGATGCAATCTAGGAAAACTGAATTAATTTCAAAATAATCAAAACAGAAACATTTTTATGACTAAAGGCATAATACAGAAGGAAGCAGAGAATTCTTGTTTCTATACCATTGCTTCTGCTCGCAGAGAATACAACAATGAAATTTAAATGAAATTCGGTATGAAGTTATATTAGAATAAGATATTTATAATACTATCAAA